TATATATATATATATATATATATATATATATATATATATATATATATATATATAATCACGAAGAATCCATGAACGGGTGATATGGCATGGTTCAACAAATGTGCAAAACGTATTGAGGTGAAGCTTTACCCCAGTACTCTTCCGAGTTCAGCCAGTTCATTTTTCCTCAACGATTCGGAGGTATACTCTCGAGTCAAGAGTTGATTTCGTGTGCAAAGTTTCGTAGTAAACGGGCCATTTGTCCCGCTTCAAAGTCACCGCAAAACTATACAGCACATCTGGTTTGTTTCAAAACTGCTTTTCGTTCTGCGCAGATCAGTCATTCCTGGTAGTCACTTATTGCGAAAGTGGATAGCAATCCTTCTTTCTAGTGTCTCATTGAAAAATCATATTTCCTTACTTATTCATTGACGTGCGTGGTTTAACTCAACCATTGCGCAGTTTGTACGATCACTTTGTTCCACCACGGATCATTTATTCACACATCTCAATCAGTGTACATCTCATTTACGTAACTGCATTACTTGAAGAATGGATCCAAAAACGAAAATGATGCTCAAAACATAAATTGAGTTGTAGAAAATCAGATTTTTCGGTCAATCATTGCCAGTTGCACGCAACCAACATCCACTTGCGTGAGCAAAGGCTTGCTGGTTGGACTAATTGTAAACCTTTACTACGAAATGTTAATTAGTTTGCTGAATCCAGGCGATGGCAAACAGCACTAATTTCAGTATGTCGATTGTATTCATTAATAAATAGAGAAATAGTGGTCAACTATGTGTATACTGTCCTTTAATTGTTTCCTTGGGGACTGCAATGACCACTAATATATTTGTTTATTCTTTTCTAACAGATCACCAGTCTCGAGGAGCTCAGTCGTCAATTGTTTTTGGAGTTGCACGATCTGCGCAATGCCCAGGAGCGCATCGAATTTTCACGTACATTGAAAGGCAAATATTTCAATTTTTTGGGCTACTTTTTCTGTGGTTATTGTGTTTGGAAAATATTTGTCTCTACCGTGAACATTTTGTTCAATCGCATTGGGCGACAAGATCCCATCACTCGCGGGATCAGTATTGCTGTGCATTATTTGGGCTTTGAATTCAATGTGAAATTCTGGTCTCGTCAGATATCGTTCTGGCTTGTCGGTATTATTGTGATCACTTCGATTCGTGGCCTGCTAATCACATTGACCAAGTTTTTCCATGCCATAGCCAGCACCAAATCGTCCAATGTGATAGTCCTGTTGTTAGCTCATATCATGGGCACCTATTTCGTGTCGTCCGTCTTGTTGCTCCGGATGAACATGACTGCGGAGTATCGAAGCATTCTGACTCAGGTGTTGGGCGATTTGCAGTTTCATTTCTATCAACGCTGGTTCGACGTGATTTTCCTAGTGAGCGCGGTTTGCAGCATCGGCTTTTTGTATATGGCCCACAAACGTGTCACTGAGATGAAAGCTGATTACATTAGTTAGTTACTTTCACTCTCCTCCTATCCCCCTATCCTTCTCTCGTATTCTCCCGCAACAATACTTCCATTTCTTTCCATCTCAGCCAATCTTTTGTTTGCAATTCTCATTTGTTCATATGATCATTATTATTGGATTTGAAAACGTGTCCATACAGTCGGACAGATTCGCATTTGCTCCACGTTGTGATCCCTATTTTTTCAACGACTTCATTTGCTTACATGCAGTTGAAAGTTCAGCTGATAAAATGTTTGCTACTGTCGCTTTGTTTTGTGTGTGTGGTTCAACGCTTTGTCCGAGTTGTGAGCACTCGCGCACACACGGAAACGTTTACCACGGTTTATCTCATTGGCTACCGAAATCTAGCGCCAGATAGTTCGTTTCGATTTTCCCAGTCGTTAATCCTCTCACACACTCACTCACTCACCCAGTGTGTGTGTGTGTGTGTGTGTGGCGAGCAGTGTAAGAAAGCCAATCCATAGTCACAAAGACATGCTGTTGAAGTACGGGAACAGGCAATAAGTTAAGAAACCTGCACTGATAGGCCACAGAAGTTTACACATATAACTATGGGTTGAAATGACAACAGAAACACATCAAAAAGTAACCGGCTTCAGGTGGGAATCAATAAACAGTTCTTGTTTATTGCACGCAGTTAAAAAAAATTGATCTTCTAATTTTTGGGGTTGTCTCAGAAAGCTGAAGTTGTATGCACGTGGTCGTGATCCTATTTCGATTACTGGTGTATTGAGCGGATCCTTCAATTCCAAAAGGAATGTAAGTTTACCGAAATGCAGCCTGAGCAGAATCAATAGGTGGAAAAATTTGCACGAGCGCCTACACTGAACGTAGTCATAAACTCAACAAATTTTGGTAGCCGCAACCTGGAAGCCTAATCCAAGCTCCATCTATCAAAGGCTTATATCTTCTCCCCGCGAGCCCTAACGAATAACACACTGTTCACCAATTTAGCTTTTCCGCTAACTTTGTGAAACACTAAGCCCCCTAGTGACGCTGACAGAATGTATCATATTAGTATGGCTCATTTTATTCCTGTTGGTTCCTCGACTTTCTTGGGGAATAAAGGCTGGACAACTTGATACATCCTATAACATAAAAAGAGTGGTTCCGTTACGGCTATATATACCCATTTACGTGTGTGGTACTCATAGCATGTTGCGAGTTGGAATTCAAAACGACAGCAGGCAAGTCTGTTGTCAGTACTTTCCCGTTTCAGGCCTCAGTTTCTTTATAGGATAGTCAGTTTTCTCTGAATAATACCAACTGAGACGACATACATATACTCACTTCGTATGATTTTGAAACCGTTTATTGGAGATAACTGGTTAATTGAAGTCGGTTACATTTTTTTCTTTTTCATTTTACTTCCTTTTATTGAATATACAAAGATACAACAATTTTTCAGGAAGGGGGAAGCGGCCAATCAGAGGGCTGCCATTCAACACGCAGAGGGGAAAGTTAGGCGGTGGTGGTGGAGTTCGAACACATATCGCCGGGGTGATAATTTGGTGACGTTACTACCGGACCACCACCGCCCAATAGTTCATTAGCTCACAATTTTCACAAAGCTGATTTTTCCTGCTGTTGATTGGTTTGGCTGTTAAGGCCAATGTGGGTGTTCCAACTACCCTGCTCTTTACGAGGATGATATCGCGCTTCAGAACTGGAATGATTGCTTTTTGCAGTTTGTCATAGAATTTGTTTTCTTCCCGTTGCCCTGTCGTCCACAGTAGAAACTGCTATTTGAGGCAGATCAGTGCGTTCCTGTGAAAAACTGTTCACTATATGGCACTTATTTTACCTATGGTTAACTTTATGATATTCCAAGTAAACCGGGATTATTAAGAAGTGTACTGTAACGGAAGTGACAATCCAAATCTGTTCTGAGAACAAACACTGTTGAATGGATCAAGAAGCAAGTATTTTGGGTACAGATAAGGTCAATGTGGCATTTGCACCGTTCAACAGTAGTAAAACTGAAAATAAAATTTTTGATACTGTTTATCATATATTCAACAAAGACGTAATTATTATTTATACGGGGTGGTACTGCCAAATAACCAATGAGACCACTGTGGCAGGGTTGAAATCCAGGAATTGTGGGGTGAATATCGGACAGCTCAGAGTGTTATTGTTTACATCCTTTTTATTGAATACACAATAATACAATTTTCTTGAAGACAGTTCAGCTGGCCTCGTCGAGAAAACCTCCCCATACCTGCGTGATTTGGGCAAATACTGCCACTTAATACCAATCCTCCATCTAAAATGGAGGTTACCCAGTGAATCATTAATCTCAAAAAGTATAAGGCCTCCGACCCGGACGGGCTGTCCCCATTGGTTTTTAAGGATGGAAGTTCAGTGTTGGTCTTGGAGTTAACGAAACTCTTGAGAACAGTGTAAGAGAGGGAACAGGTTCCAACTGAATGGCGTGAATCTATCATATTAGTGATTTACAAGAAAGGTTCCAGATTCTCTTGTGAAAACCACAGAAGGATTAGGTTGATCTACATTGTTTCTAAGTTTCTCGCAGGTGTGTTACACTCTGTTAATTGTCTGCCGGACGCGAACGGTGCATGCGTGAAAACAAGGTTCGTTTTAAACCTGGTCGAGGTTCCATAAGCCACATTTTCACCCTTCGCCAAATTTTAGAACTTAGACACTCCTTTTGTAGACCTATCATTTCTATCTTCCTCGGTCTGAAAGCGGCCTTCGACTCAGTTGACCGCTCTAAACTCTGTCACTGTCTCGGTCTTCTCTGATGTACCCGAGAAGTTTATTCCCATATTACAATAATAGCCGAAGCTGAGTCCTAGCTCACTGCACATTTTAGCCGGAGTTAACCACAGAAAGTGGTGTTCGCCAGGGTTGTCCTCTCGCTTTCTATTCAAGTTTGTTATATATTTGATTGTGAACCAGACCTATCCTCGTTCGAGGATAGCTGTATCGATTTACTTCCAGGAGGCAGACCGTCTGATTTAGAGTATGCAGACGACATTGTGCTGCTAAGCGAAGATGCAGGTAAGTTGCAAGCCTTTCTGAACAGTTTGAGTGCTAGTATGTCTATGTTCGGTATTCGTTTTGCACCTTCAAAGAGTAAAATGTTAATACAAGATTGGGTTGGTCCACACCCAGCCTCACTCTTACTGGCGAAGGAATAAAACAAGTAGACAAATTTTATTATTTGGGTAACTATATTTCACCTGGCGGACGTGTCACAGATGAAGTCTAAGCAGACATTTAGAAGGCGCGATTGGCATTTGTCAGCTTGAGACATTTGTGGCATTCGCGAAATCCTGGTGTCCGGGAGGGGTTGACTCGACACTAACGAAGGTAGACAGTTTGTTAACTTCAATCAAGCACGGTATTTTATATTACTATCCTACCATCGTAATTGTGACGGACGATCGAAGATTTATGAGTGAATTCAGCATATGCTAAATTTGGAATGAACCATTCGTTAGGGAATGCCGCATGACACGCGATGCATAAGTTAATCAGGAAAACGAGATTAACTTCAATAAAAATGTTTACTTGACTGAAAATATTACAATATAGTACTATACTACTCACGAGTAGCAAAGTTTTCGCCTTAACTGAAAGCATTGCATCATCAATACGGCAGTTTTGTGTATATAATTTTCTTTAAAACCTATGACAGAATGCATTAACTCTCCCCATCTCTCTATCAATTTATAACTTTCACATACTCACATAATGTTGGTCTCTTGTTGACTTCCCACATACTGGAGTAGAAACTGCAAAACGATGCGGTGCGACAGACCGTGTAGAATTCGTTCATAACTGATGAAGCCTACTCATTTGAATTCGATGTGGTACGGAATCGTACACCGAAAACCTCCCAAACGCACGCTGACCAAAGTCGCGGTTAGGTATTTACTCGATGCACCCAGAGTGCGCCACACTGCCTAAACACCGATTTTTGACAACCTGTAGTTGATGAATGTGTTCTGAACAGAAGTTCACAATCGTAAAGCAGGACCGATCGATCTGTCGCATCGTTTACGCGACCTTTCAACTTTAGTATGGCGTTAGGGGATCAGTGTATGGTTAATGGTTGTACAAACTGAAACTATGGGATCACTAATTCCCGAAGTTTTCTTGTAGCACATTGCCTGATAATTGGAGAAAAGAGCTTGTTGACATCTAATAACCCCACCCACCGGTTCCAACATTGTTTATGAATTCGTTTGCATCAGTGGATGCAAAATACATTGGTCATTCTTTGCACTATCTGATATCTCAGATCTTAGATCACAATTACAGATGACCGGAGACGAACGAAACTGTAACCGTGCATAATGGCGTCCCTATACATACTAAAGAAACTGACCGAAAAAGGGACTCATTTGTATTGCATTGTAAATGACTTGTGCAAGCAACTGTGCCTACAATTCAGTCAAAAATGTGTTCACCATTACAATGGGATAAAGAATGAACTGAAGATTCATGTACAATGATGATAAAACTTCGTGTTCATTTTCTAAGGTTTAACATCAGTTCGTTGCGGATCTCCATCGTGTCAGTGAGAATACAAGCCAGACGGAATGGCTGAGTTGCGATAAATGTTTATGTGGGACGGTAAGCAACGAAAATTGATTTGGGTTGTCGCGTGGGAACAGCGAGCAGATATATCGGGATTGAGCAGATGACTGGGGTCATCGAGTATCTAATGAGCGAAGGTCTCACGCGAAGTGATATGAAGATCACACAATTTTGTGACTAGATTAAAGAAACGCGGTTGATAATTACTAAGCGATGATAAAGAGTAATGACATCCTTTCTAAGTGGTCCAGGGAAATATCAAGTGAACAATAAAGTATGACAGGAAAAATGCATTGATAAACAAAAGAACATATAGTTTCATACCTCACTCGAAATTGTCGTAGCTTGCGTATTTGGAAAGATAAGCGACTCAGTCTACCAACACAGGCTAGCACATGAGAAGATCACCGTAGATTGCT